CTGTAATCCGCCGGTTTCTGGACGCTGTGCGGGACAACGCAGCCCTGGTCTCCCTCCACACGTGATGGGCCCGCTTCAGATGGCACTGCACCGATGGAACCTCCACCTGCCCCTCCTGGGACGGGAACAGTGGCGGCTGATAGCCGTAAGCAGACATGAAGGGAGACCGACCTGTGGCTGAAGAGACGAGGGTGTTGTGCGCATATTCCATCCAAGGCAAGTGGACGGCCCAGGACGAGGGACGGTGGAGACACACATAATGAAGAGCCGCCTCCAGGTCTTGGTTCGCTCGCTCCGCCTGCCCATTGGACTGCGGGTGGTAACCAGATGAGAGACTCGCCGTGGCCCCCAGAGCCCGACAGAACCGCTTGCATACCCTGGAAACGAACTGGGGCCCACGGTCCGACACAATGTCCATCGGGATCCCATGGAGACGGAACACATGGGTTACCAATAGGTCGGCGGTTTCCAAGGCGGACGGCAACTTGGAAAGCGGAACGAAATGAACAGATTTTGAAAAACGGTCCACAATGGTGAGAATGATGGTCTTTCCACGAGAAGGAGGAAGGCCCGTGACAAAGTCAATGGATATGTGGGACCAGGGTCGAGGGGGAACGGGTAGGGGTTGAAGCAACTCCGCCGGAGGCCGGTGCGAGACCTTACCACAGGCGCAGGCGGGGCAGGCCCTGATGAACTCCGCGATATCCCTAAAAAGTTCCGTGGGATCGTGGATCCGGGAGAGGGCATCAGGTTTAGTGTTTTTAGAACCAGGACAATATGTGAGTGTGAAATTATAACGAGTTAACAGAAGTGCCCACCGGGCCTGACGTGAGTTCAGTCTTTTGGCAGAGCGTATGTATGCAAGGTTCTTGTGGTCTGTGTATACAGTAAATGGCTCCTTGGTCCCCTCGAGCCAGTGTCTCCATTCCTGTAGAGCCACCACTACAGCCAACAGTTCCCAGTTTCCCACATCATAGTTCGACTCGGCGGGACTAAGGCGACGAGAAAAGAAGGCGCAAGGGTGCAGTCGCTGGTCAACTGGGGAACGCTGAGACAAAACCGTCCCCACTCCTGAATCTGAGGCGTCCACCTCTACGACAAAAGAACAATCAGGGTTAGGATGTTGCAGTACAGGTGGGTTCATAAAAGCTTTCTTTAATGCCGTAAACGCCGAGTCGGCGTCTGAGTCCCACTTAAACGGAACCTTAATGGAGGTCAACCGGGTTAACGGAAGGGCCTTCTGACTATAATTGCGAATAAAACGTCTGTAAAAGTTAGCAAAACCCAAAAAACGCTGCAGCTCTTTACGAGTGGTGGGTGTCGGCCATTCCACCACCTCCTTAATCTTGACGGGGTCAGCTCTTAGTTGACCCCTCTCTATAACAAATCCCAGGAACGATATAGTCTTGACATGAAATTCACATTTCTCGGCCTTGACAAAAAGTCTATTTTCTAACAGCCGTTGCAATATGAGCCTGACGAGCTGTTTGTGTTCCTGTAGAGTCCGTGAGAAAATCAAAATGTCATCGAGATAAACAAAACAAAACACATTCAATAGGTCCCTCAGCACGTCGTTGATGAGACTCTGAAACACCGCGGGGGCATTTGTCAGACCGAAAGGCATGACCAAATATTCAAAGTGGCCTAAGGGAGTCTTAAAAGCTGTCTTCCATTCATCCCCTTCCCGAATGCGAACCAGATGATACGCACTGCGTAAATTTAATTTTGAAGATGGTGGCCGATTGAAGGGGAGCAAATGCGGAATCTAACAGTGGAAGTGGATACTTGTTTTTAATGGTTATTTCATTGAGTCCTCGATAGTCCACACACGGCCGCAATGACTCGTCCTTCTTCTTAATAAAGAAAAAAACAGCACCTAACGGTGATCGTGATGGTCTGATAAGACCTGCAGCGAGCGAGCTGTTGATGTATTCCCTCAATGCCTTTTGTTCAGGATGAGAAACCTGATATAGCCGGGAGCTCGGCAGCGGGGCACCCGCCTGCAGGTCTATGGCACAGTCGTAAGGACGGTGCGGTGGCAAGGATTGGGCGCGGTCTTTACTAAAAACCTGTTGCAAATCATGATAGCAACCAGGTACTCCATCTAGACAAATGGTTTCAGGGGGCTCATTACGAGAACGCACGTGCCCCCCAACGGTGGACCGCAAACAATGCTCGTAACAAAACGGGCTCCAAATCTCTATCGCAGGGCGATCCCACAAAATTACTGGGTTGTGAGTCTTAAGCCACGGTAAGCCGAGAATCACTGGGACGGCTCGCGACTGCATCAAATAGAATCTCCTATGTTCGACATGATTGCCCGAGAGTTTGAGCTGAACGGGTCCCGTAATTTTCTTCACCACCGCCAAAAGACGCCCATCGAGATCATGAACCCGTTTTTCTTCGTTCCAAGTCCTCGATGTAACAACCTATTTCAGTGGCTATGCTGGTATCGATGAAGCAATCATCGGCCCCCGAATCTACCAAAGCCCGGATCGGCAGAACCTGAGACGGCCCGTAGATCTCTCCCTCCAGTTCCAGTCTCTTGGAGAGGCCTGAACTAGACTCGACTCTCCTCGGCTCCCGATGTTCAATGCGGGGTCGTAACTCACAGTCATCGAGAGGCGTAGGTGGTTTGGATGTCCTTGGGCAAGTGGCGACCCGATGCCCTTGTTGGCCGCAGTGGAAGTAGGTCCGGTCCTGGATCCGACGCCATCTGTCCTCCGGTTCCAAGTGTTCGCCTCCCAGCTGCATCGGCTCGTCCACGGCGGCAGTATTCCGTGTACTGGAGTGGTCCCCGGACCCCGATGTCCGCGTCGTCTCGCGGGAAGCCCCTCGGAAAGCAGCATGCCGGTACGGAAACCATCCACCTGCGCGCTCCCGGCTCCTCTCCCTAATGCGGTTGTCCAGGACCAAGGTGATGTCAATGAGCTCCTCCAAGTTAGACCTGTTATCGCGGGTAGCCAGTTCGTCTTTGAGTTGAGTGTTCAACCCGCGGCGAAGCAGTCCACATAACGCTCGGTCATCATATCCACTTTGGGCGGCCAAAATACGAAATGTAATGGAATAGTCCGCAACAGATTGTGTACCTTGACGGCGCTCTAGCAACCGGCCTTCGGCCTCTCTTCCTCGAACGGGATGGTGGAACACCCGACGAAACGCGGCAATGAAATCGGGGAAGGAAGACCGGAGGCTCGGCTTTGCCTCGCGTGGGTTGCGTCGGCGCTGTGAGTACGTGCTTGCGCTCACGCGCGCACAGCAGAGAGCTGCGGACTATCCGCTGCTGAGATGCGCTTCAATCGAGTGACGTTGTTATTACAGTACGTGCATAATATGGAGCAACTTCCGGACAAACGCAAATTGTCCGCCGTGTAGAGCCTCCGTGGTAGCACGGGGGATTTCCGGGGTTGGCGTTCTCCGGTTTTCTAAACGCTCCACTCGCGACCCGTAATCCTCGAACTGGTGGGCCAACATGGAGACCGCGTCACGGAGTTCTGAGATCGCCTGGCCCTGCTGACTCACCAGTTGTTCTTGGCTGGCCAGGGCGGACAAAATCTTATTAATGTCTGCGGAATCCCTGGT